GGGTTTCAACCTAGGCCCTTCAACAACTACTCTCAGGGATATTAGCCGAGAGGCCAGTTTGCGCTTAATGCCGACTCTAGATTTCGGCCACAGCAAGGTGCAAATCAGCAATACCCTGCCCCTGCACCCCAAGTCCCACCAGGCTTTGACCTCAAGGTAGTCTTACAACAGATTATAGATGGTCAGTCCAAGACACAACAAGAGATCAACAAGAAAGTGATGGAGCTGAAGCAACATGTTGATGGAGGGTACACTGATCTCCAGAAAAAGTTTGAGACTTTGAATTCTCAGTTCAAGTCACTGGACAACCGCATTGCTCAGGTTGCATCCTCCTCTCAAAGGACACCAGGCACACTCCCTGGAACATGTGAAGCAAATCCTAAGGAGACATGTAATGTCACCTTCTGTGAGGATGATAGCTGTGAAGAGAGTATGGAGAGATCCCTGCGAGAGGAAGACTCTGATGATGATATTGATACTTGTGAAATCCTCTCAGCTGAACGAAATGAAAAAGTTGCTCTAAAGATCCTGTTTTGACTAATAAGACGGTTAACTTTGAAGAAGCATTTCCAGCAGTTCACAAGATGATGAATGATCTCTTAGTACCACTCCAGAAGAGGGCTGTCTCACACAGAGATACCGTGGAGCAAAGATTCATTGCCACAATTATGGACAATCAGCAGAATCTCAAGGATGTTGTGGGAATACATGATGATCTGATGAAGAAAGTATCTGCTTTGAAGATACTGCCTAAGCAAGCCAACCCAGGGAGGTTTATCCTGCCTTACTCCCTCGGAAAGTTTCATGAAAATGGGCTGTGTGATACTGGATCCAACATAAATCTAATCTCCATCTTCATGGTAAGGAAACTAGGTATCCAGGAGGTGAAAAAGAGAGTCTGTTTGATCATTATGGCGGACTCCAGTTCAATGGATTCTTTGGAAATGATTGAAGGGTACCCTCTGAAGGTTGGAAGCACTCTTATCCCCACAGATTTCGTAGTGATGCAGATGGCAATGGATAAGCACTTACCATTAATCCTTGGGATGCCCTTCTTGAAGATTGTGGGTGCTGTTATGGACCTGAAGAATTTGAAGGTAACGCTCACCAATGTGGATGCTCTTGTTACCTATGACATCACCACTGCTCCATCAGTAAAGAAGAAGACAAAGGCTGCTACGGATGACTATGGAGATCCGCTTACCGGCTCTGTTCAGGATAAGGGAAAGAGCTTTGTTGAAAAGGGTAAAGGAAAATTCTAAGCTGGTGAAGACACATGATCCTCACAAGCTGCTACTGAAGCTTCTTTGAATCCCCTACTGCTGTCCCGTGAACTACATGGTTCCTCTGAGAACAAGACCCGCCAAGATGAAGCACCAAACATCCCTCTATCCATGATGCATAATCTCCCATAGGACTTGGTTGGATATGGCTCAGCTCACATCGCCACTGCAATGAATGATTGGGGACCAAGGGTGAAGAAAGGTCCTCCACCTT